CAGACTGCAATTTCTGCGAAAACCTGTTCTACCGAGAATCGCAACTTGTTTTTTGAAGAGGTGACGGTTACTTCAAAAAAAAACACTTCTGCTTTTTTTTTAATGAAAACTACGCTATATTCTTCTCTCAAATCTTTCATCGTCTTTCAAATTCTTTCAATTCCGGCTAAGCAGGGTCCTCCCCAATGGCGAATGCAGATGAACGGAACATCTTCAGGCGACAGGACGATGAGATCATCAATGAAAGCCCAGCACTGATGTCAATTGATGCGGACTGATGGATGGCGCCCTACAACGGATACCAGACTTTAGAATAGAAAGTGCCCTCCCACAACTGGGAGGCCGGGACAGGGCACTCAGGTCATAGCTAAAGGCACAATGTCCATCCACTGCTAGGAGGCTTTGGGAGGATGAGAAGTAGGGGACAAGGATTTTTGGGGAGGATAGGACCTTAGTGGGGAAGAGAAAGGGCTCACGAATAGGTGGAAAGGGCAATGGGGATAGGGCAAGGTGGAATAGACAGGGACTCAGAGGGGCATACAACACAGACACAGCTTTCATAAGGATGAGAAATGCACAATACGGTATATGGCTACGATATAGCACATACAAGGCATTTTCAAGGATTGAACTGACAGGGAGCTGGGTAGCTTACCGCCCACCTCCCCTCAGACACATTTATACTCATTGACTTGCACTCACCGATCACACTGATGGGATGATATGGACCACATGAAGGGACACAGCATGATTCACAGCATGATTCACATTGTACATCACAGGGACGCTGGACCCGATTTCCAGCAGGTGATGCTCCCCACCAATAGATGGAGCCATCTCGACACTGCTAGGGACGTCTGCTCGTACCAGCGACCCTAGCAGACGATCGGGCTGTTTTTCCTTAAAAAAAAAAAAAAAAAAAAAAAAAAAACACTTTCAATTCACCTTCACTACCTACCTACCTACCACTACTCGTAAGGCTTAGACAGGGGACCCCTGCAAACATAGCTTTGTTGTCTCCCTCCAGCCATCAGAGGGCATGCATGTTGCCCACCGCCCCAACCATGGTGGTCAAGGATGGGGTGGGGCCGCCGGTGGGGGTCGGGCTAACGCAAAGACCTAGCATTTTGCCAGTAGCTGCGCCTCCCTTTTCATCGTCCCCCACCCCCAACCGAATAACAGCAGTGTCTAAGGCGAGCACTCTCCCACACACCACACACAACCCACTCACACTCACACTCACACTCACACTCACACTCACACCCGTGTTGGCCAAGGACCCTGCTATTACCGATGAGAGGTATCACGCGGACTATCACTGCTGGTTGGCACTAAGTGCGCCGCAGGCAGTTGTGGGGCTTGAACCCACAACCTCCTGAATGCCACTTGCGTGGCTGACCAACTGAGCTACAGATCTTCTTTTTTTTTTTTTTTTTAAGCCCCTGTGTAAGCCCTCCATCCTTTCCTTACAGATCTTGAGAAGCCGGGCCTCGCTGTGCCACTCACACCACATGTGTAAGTGGAGAATCATGCATCTTCCCATACAATGCTGCCAAATGCACCCGCCATATTCTTCATAATCCTTGTGTTTTTGACATTTGGTGAGAGGGGCGGCCAGACCCTTTCTCCCTGATTGGGCCCAGGCCGAGCGCCTATTAACCAACCGCGGCAGAGCACAATAGAAAAAGGACCGGGGGTCTAAGGGCGGAGCATGGTACCGAAAGGGGAGGGCAGGGCTCTGAGGGCTACAGGAGGGGGGGCTATGGGGGCTATGGGGGCTATGGGAGCGAGGGGCTCAGAGGGCTACGTCCCACTGGCAGGGTTTACACTTGGTCTCCGATCTGAACATCTCACGGCCGCACTGTGGCCACGTTGAAAAATACTCCAAAGGAAGACTTAAGGCCCCCACTACCTTCTTCCCCCAAATACAATGTGCGGTCATTATACCTGTATTTGGACTCAAAGATACACCAAATACAGCTATAATGACCCTATGTTGTATTCGGGGGAAGAAGGTAGTGGGTTTTAGCCCTGGGACTGGATATCCAGTGCAACAATTCCAGTTTGTGGCCTTGGCTACTCGACTTTTGCACTTCCCTCCTTTAAAAAAAAAGACACTGTGAATTTACAAAAAAAAATGGACAAAAAAAAAAGAGAGAGAGAGGGGCATGTCTGACACAGCCTGCCATGGTGAGAAGGAGGGGTGCTAAAAAAAAAAGAAAAGAAAAGAAAAGAAAAGAAAAGAAAAGAAAAGAAAAGAAAAAAAAGAGGGAGGGGAGCAGTCAGAGTTTCGGAGATTTACCTTTCTCGGGTCTTTTGGCTAAAAATAGATCAAGTGTAGTATCTGTTGATTCTGTTCGTATCTGTTGATTCTGTTCTGATCACTTTACTATGGGCCTCGCTGCACTACTCTCCATACGCACAAAAGACAAAAAATATGGCGGTGTATATTTCCACGTTCTAGCAGAAAATTCATTCTGATTTTGCACATTTGGAGAGTAGTGCAGCGAGGCCCTATCTGATCCATGGTCCACGGGACCACTTTCAGGAAGATGCTCTTATCACTCCCTCAAGTGCTCCCCCCACTATTGAAGTTCTCAAAAAAAAAAAAAGAAAAAAAAAAAAGAAAGAAGTTTCGGAGATCTCTTGAGAGAGGGTGCAATCATTTGCAATCAATCGAAAAATCATCCTTAATACTCTTAAAGCCAATAGCGGGTCTAGCGTGACGCTCCCACGCAGACCCATCTTCCAGTGTTGGGAAAGCCGCCGGGACAAGGGGCGGCCCCACGGAAATGAAAAACTGCAGCCGTTTCCAATTCGCCGGGCACGTGTTCGAATACAAATACATAGCGCCGTTATGTGCAGAGTTTTTTTTTTTTTTTCGCCCGTAGATTCTTCGTTTTTTTTTTTCTGTAGATTCTTTTGTTCCGTCCTTCTCTTTTCTTTTTTTTTTCTTTTTTTTTTTTTTGAAAGAAGAACAGCCCGAGGTAGTGCTAGAGGCGCTGATAAGAGCAGACACCACTATCACTCTCAGGGAGGCTCCATCTATTGGTGGGGAGCAGCACCTACTGGAAACCGGATCCAGTGTCCAAGAACATCGTGCTTGCTTGTTTGTACAGAAAACTGACTGTGGCAACTGGTAGCCGCCAGGCCCACCTTTAAACCACCAGTACTTAGCCCAGCTATTGATGCCGAGCCGGGATAGGCCCTGCGCGCCAAGTTTTGCCGAGCCCACGGGGCACCGTTTCGTTTTCATTTTGGCTGGCGCTTCCAGCCATTGTGGATGGGTGCCCTGAAGCGCGCAACTACCGGCGCGTTAACGGGAATCGCCCGCGGCCGATAGCTCGGCCAAGTACTGGTGGTTTAAAGGGAGAAGTTTAACCAGTGGAGCTACACAACTACCCAGTAGCAGAAATTAGCTGCCTACATGACAGTGTTAGTTAGGCGGCAGTCCCGTGGCGATGATCCCCTTCCAATCTTGGGGCCAGGTAGTATCACCTATGAGTGATTGTTCCGTAGATTTTCCTTTTTTTGTCTTTGTCGGTGAAGGGGCGGACGAAAGGGCATTGCTGCACTACTCTCCACATGCACAAAAGACAAAAAGATGGCAATGTATCTTTACATGTTCTAGCGGTAGATTCAGTCTCATTTTGCACATTTGGAGAGCAGTTTGGCAGGAAGTGTTCGAATATGATTTTTCTGCGGTTCTTTTTTTTGTGCCCGATTATTGTTTCGAGTCTGGCAGTGGGTGTTCAAATATTGTTTTTCCGCGCGTGACGGGAGCACAGAAGCGGGAGAGAGAGAGAGAGAGAGAGAGAGAGAGAGAGAGAGAGAGAGAGAGAGAGAGAGAGAGAGAGAGAGAGAGAGAGAGAGAGAGAGTAGACACGGGCTTGAGCGTGATGGTCCATCGAGTTAAGGCGCTGCGTCTTCCCACGTTATAGCGGGAGATTTATTGGGGTGCGGCTTTGCCGTGCCGGGTGGACTTCTTTGTAATAAATTCAAAAANGAGAGAGAGAGAGAGAGAGAGAGAGAGAGAGAGAGAGAGAGAGAGAGAGAGAGAGAGAGAGAGAGAGAGAGAGAGAGAGAGAGACGCTGCTCTCGACATGCAGAAAAGAAAAAAAAAGTTAAGGCGCTGCGTCTTCCCACGTTATAGCGGGAGATTTATTGGGGTGCGGCTTTGCCGTGCCGGGTGGACTTCTTTGTAATAAATTCAAAAACCATTTGCAATGATTCTGTTTGTTACATAATGTTATATTAGTTTAATTATTTATTATTTATATAGCATATAAGGTGTGGCTGAGCTTCAAGGAGAATGTGGGCAAGTTTTGTGAAAGCTGCTCATCTCACCCCCACTAGCTACCCAAGGCCAAGGTTTTCACACACACCAAAAAAAGAACAAATTATTTCCACAAAGATGTCCAGATTCAGGCTGTTTTCGGTTCATAACGCATCCACATTCAGGCGACTTTCTGCACCTCTCCACAAAAGACGTCCAGATTCAGGCGTTAAATCCAATACTCTTTGCTAGTGGGACATCCTTCAAGGTGAGGGTGGGGAAGTTGTTAGAGGAGGAAATTTTCCTCTTCTGTGTGAATGATCGATCGGAAATAAGAAATTATTTTTGATAGACTCGAAGCCCTGGTCATGATCGCTGTATTTAGACTGAAAGTTGCCCCGAATACAGCTATAATGATTCACTCCACCATGATGTGGATTCAGTATTTTACTATTTTTTTGAATTTTTTCTAATTAACGACCCAAGTCACTGAAGTTCACAGCAACCTCAAATTCTCTATCCCTTCTTTTCTTTACTATTCTTTTCCTTTTTTTTTTTTTTTTTTTTTTTTTTTCACGAGAAAGACCCTTATACAAGACCTCTATCCCCGAAGTGAGCTGAATCCCAACATGAGGGCATTTTGTCATATTTGTCATCTTTGATTGGAAATTGGAATTTGAATTTTGACTCTTTTTTGAGGAGGAAAAAAAAAAAAAAGGCATACCTCTGTCTGCCAGGCTTCAACAAGCTCCTTCTTTACAGCAGCCCTGCAAATCAGGGACAGGCACGATAATCAGGTCAAGGTATTTAGCCTTAAATACTAAATAGTAAATAGTAAATACACATTAAAAAAAAAAAAAGTGCTCATATTGGGGCTTAACTTTCACCCCAGTACACTTAGCCATTTGGTTGTGCTTTTGCCTCCCAAGAGGGGGGTCGCACGTTCGATTCTCTTGTGATCGACTCGTGAGATGATTTCCCTAACAGGTCCGCAAGTGTGGTAAAAAAAAAAAAAAAAACCAACAACACAAGTGCCGTCCTTTATTGGCACATGAGCAACCCCGGTTAAACCCTAAGCCCTAGCTTGTCAGATGCAATGGATGGTGTTACACGCAAGATGATGTACACGCACACGAAGATCAAGTCAAAAGACGAGCTTCACGTAGACAGGTCTGCACCAATGTAGTCAAAGTATACAACAACATCAGAATTGGCTCCCTGACGCGTTTTGACTGCTGCCACCCTGCTTGTCAACCTGGAGCCAGAGTTTTTTTTTGTTTTTTTGTTTTTTTTTTTCCGATTTCCCCCCTGCCCCCCAAGCTCTTCTGAGCAGAAGGTCAATGGGTGGTTTTTCCTTATCGAAAAAAAAAACACAAAAAAAATGGACCTTGTACACTTTCAGGCGAAAAAAGTATGCTGAGTCCAAAAAACCCAAATTCAATGCAACTCCGGAGAGGGGACATGAGCATCGCCGGACTCTTGCAAACAGTTTTTGAATCCCTATATTGTCGCCAGTCCACTCTTCAACGGCTACCGTCTTCACGCGAATAGAACGCCCGGTCATTATAGCTGTATTCTGGGCAAGTTTCAGTCTAGATGCAGCGAAAATAACCGGACGTTCTACTCGGGTGAAGACGGTAGTACATGGCCCCAGCCTTGCTGAAAATGAACTCATCGCCCATCCAAAAATTTCATGCCTCAGGTCACAATGGCTGGAGGTGCCAGCCAGGGAAAAAAGTGTGCCGCTGGCGGTCCGGCAAAGCTGGGCACACAGTGGGGCACCTCCAGGCCTGGGTGTACTGGTGGTTTAAACTGCTCGGGTAGACAGACAGCTACGTAGATCCCTGAGCTGGCGGGAGGGATAGACGCTCGCCCTCCGTCTGCACGTACAAACCGCTCGCTCGATCCCCAAGAAGAGCCCTACAGTCTTCACCCGAATAGAACACCCGGTCATTATAGCTGCATTTGGCCCACCTTTCAGTCCAGATGCAGCGATAATGACCGGGCGTTCTATTCGGGTGAAGACGGTAGTATATGGGCTCCACGTTGCTACTCGTTCCCAGGCAACCTTAGTCTATGAGAGAGGGTTACACGATTACCCTCTCTTCGCACACCTAAGAAACCCCCCTCTCTTATCATCGTCATCTCAGTGGGCATAGAGTAACCCTAGAGCCTGAGAAGACAAACACCTTCTTTATTTTCTTCTTCTCTTCTGGAACAATTTTAGGCCCGGTTCCCAGCACGTGCTGCTCCCCACGAATAGATTGGAGCATTTGTTTATACTAGATGTGTATAAGAGACAGGTGTGTGTGTGTGTGT